ATGATGTCGCAGGCTTGGCATGTCGGCTATGATGTCGCAGGCTTGGCATGTCGGCTGTGATGTCGCAGGCTTGGCATGTCGGCTGTGATATCGCAGGCTTGGCAAGTCGGCTATGATGTCGCAGCCTTGGCAAGTCGGCTATGATGTCGCAGGCTTGGCATGTCAGCTATGATGTCGCAGGCTTGGCATGTCAGCTATGATGTCGCAGGCTTGGCATGTCAGCTGTGATATCGCAGGCTTGGCATGGCAGCTATGATATCGCAGACTTGGCATGGCAGCTATGATATCGCAGGCTTGGGAAGTCAGCTATTATGTCCCAGGCTTGGCATGTCAGCTATGATGTCGCAGGCTTATGTCAGCTATGATGTCGCAGGCTTGGCATGTCGGCTATGATGTTGCAGGCTTGGCATGTCAGCTGTGATGTTGCAGGCTTGGCATGTCGGCTGTGATGTCGCAGGCTTGGCATGTCGGCTGTGATATCGCAGGCTTGGCAAGTCGGCTATGATGTCGCAGCCTTGGCAAGTCGGCTATGATGTCGCAGCCTTGGCAAGACGGCTATGATGTCGCAGCCTTGGCATGTCAGCTATAATGTCGCAGCCTTGGCATGTCAGCCATGATGTCGCAGGCTTGGCATGTCAGCCATGATGTCGCAGGCTTGGCATGTCAGCTGTGATGTTGCGTCAGCCGTGATATCGCAGGCTTGGCATGTCAGCCGTGATATTGCAGGCTTGGCATGTCAGCTGTGATGTTGCAGGCTTGGCATGTCGGCTGTGATGTTGCAGGCTTGGCATGTCGGCTGTGATGTTGCAGGCTTGGCATGTCGGCTGTGATGTTGCAGGCTTGGCATGTCGGCTGTGATGTTGCAGGCTTGGCATGTCGGCTGTGATGTTGCAGGCTTGGCATGTCGGCTGTGATGTTGCAGGCTTGGCATGTCAGCTATGATGTCGCAGACTTGGCATGTCAGCTATGATGTCAGACTTGGCATGTCGGCTATGATGTCACAGGCTTGGCATGTCGGCTATGATGTCTCAAGCTTGGCATGTCGGCTATGATGTCTCAAGCTTGGCATGTCGGCTATGATGTCTCAAGCTTGGCATGTCGGCTATGATGTCACAGGCTTGGCATGTCGGCTGTGATGTCGCAGGCTTGGCATGTCGGCTGTGATGTCGCAGGCTTGGCATGTCGGCTATGATGTCGCAGGCTTGGCATGTCGGCTATGATGTCGCAGGCTTGGCATGTCAGCTATGATGTCGCAGGTTTGGCATGTCAGCTATGATGTCGCAGGTTTGGCATGTCAGCTATGATGTCGCAGGCTTGGCATGTCAGCTATGATGTCGCAGGCTTGGCATGTCAGCTATGATGTCGCAGGCTTGGCATGTCAGCTATGATGTCGCAGGCTTGGCATGTCAGCTATGATGTCGCAGGCTTGGCATGTCAGCTATAATGTCGCAGGCTTGGCCTGTCAGCTATTATGTTGCAGGTCTGGCCTGTCAGCTATTATGTTGCAGGCTTGGCATGTCAGCTATGATGTTGCAGACTTGGCATGTCAGCTATGATGTCACAGACTTGGCATGTCGGCTATGATGTCACAGACTTGGCATGTCGGCTATGATGTCACAGGCTTGGCATGTCGGCTATGATGTCTCAAGCTTGGCATGTCGGCTATGATGTCTCAAGCTTGGCATGTCGGCTATGATGTCTCAAGCTTGGCATGTCGGCTGTGATGTCGCAGGCTTGGCATGTCGGCTGTGATGTCGCAGGCTTGGCATGTCGGCTATGATGTCGCAGGCTTGGCATGTCGGCTATGATGTCGCAGGCTTGGCATGTCGGCTATGATGTCGCAGGCTTGGCATGTCAGCTATGATGTCGCAGGTTTGGCATGTCAGCTATGATGTCGCAGGTTTGGCATGTCAGCTATGATGTCGCAGGTTTGGCATGTCAGCTATGATGTCGCAGGCTTGGCATGTCAGCTATGATGTCGCAGGCTGGCAAGTCGGCTATGATGTCGCAGGCTTGGCATGTCAGCTATGATGTCGCAGGCTTGAGTATCAGACTAGTTTGGTCTGTCTGCACTAGAGTGATATGATTTGCCTGTTTTTCTATAGAATAGCTACAGTTAGAATGTGGGATACCAGACAAAAATGTCTCTAGGAAAGAAAAAAGGTTTAGTTCTCAGCTATCAATTGTGACTATATTGTTTTGGTTCATGTGAATTTTACACATTTGGTAGTAGTAACCATGAATTGTAGTATGTGGCTTCACATACAGTCAAGCATAGCCAAGCAGCAGTGGACTATTCAACATATCTATGTCGTTTTAAATTATATTTTGTTTCTTTATATTTCAGACCAGATGAGAACATGTTAGTAAGAGCTAATAATGATGGTAGTTATCATGCTAATTGGACTCCGGGATCAGCTGGAACCTATGCAGTACATGTGACAATTGATGGATACCCTATGGGTGAGTCTCATTAGTACCAACATTACTTACTACCAGCATGGCACCCTGAGAAACAAAGACATAATGACTTACCAGTATATACATCCATATGTTTTTCCCAAATTAATTAAACTAAACAAATATACCATGCAAAATTTTCATTATTATATCATAAATCCTGTTCTTGTGTTATTTGCGGAGTCTCATAATATTCTCTTTTTCCAGCAGATATGCTAAGAAGAATGCATTTATAGCTATGTGTTCTCTTGTTATTGCAAGATGAAGTTTATTCTTCAGAAAATATATTCTCGCCATAAAATTTGTTTAATTCCTGCTTTGAGCTAAATTTGCTAAAATGACATGCAACTACAGTAAATACAATACGTTGATATTATATTTGACACTTTCCTACACCAAACATCGAGTTATCATCATCCATTAAATCCCCATTGCACTTGTGTTTGACTTACTATGTATGTAGAATGTTTTCATAACACTTGGTTTCTGTGCAATTAGATGATGTACCACAGATTGAAGTTGGTGAACCGCCTCAAGGAGTAACACCCCCTAATCCAGCTGCAACCAAGAAACCACATCAACCAAGCAAGGTTTGTATATGCCTTGTAATTATTCATGGTTGTAAAAGTTTAGCAGTTCACATTGACCCCTCACAACAATAACAAAATTTATGTTCATAATATAGTGAAATACATATCCTGTAAAAAGGTTAATTATTTACTGGGTTTTAATTTTGCTTATTTCACTGACTGGAAAATGCACTAAATTAAAACCCAGTGAATTTGTAAAATTCAGGATAGAACACATTATCTAAATGATAAAACCGTCAATTTAAAACCCACTGAATATGCCTGAAATGCTAAATCAACAAAATTTAAACCCAGTGAAAATTAGTCATAAATAAATAAAATTGTAGTAGAAAAATTATGTTCCTCAAAGGGTGGGTTAGCTATAATCTTTTGAATGGCATGTGTGTCTCTCACCAAACACTGAAGTCACATTTTACTTATATCTGAGGTGCTTTAAATACTTGGATATGCTCATTTTTATGATACCCAGTAAACAAAGTAACAAAGAATAACATCACAACTTCTCTAAAAGTGCTTGTGAACCTCCTGAAATCCTGCACTTGGAGTTATAAGCATGCCTGTGTTATTTAGATTTGCAGTGCTGTTTCTTCCTATTATTTAATAACCTCACATTTAACGCAAATGTTTTCTAGGTACGTAAGTATGTTGCTTCTCACAGTCAGGGTTTACGTATTCGTACCAGTCCATCATTACAAAGTGAGCAGATTGGTATTGTTGGCGTCAATGATACCATAACATTCGTTGATGAAGTGCACAATGAAGACGGGGTGTGGCTAAGATTAAATTCGGAAACAATTCATAAATATTGTGGTACTAATGGATATAAAGAAGCATGGTGTTTATCTTACAATCAGCATCTAGGAAAGACATTACTTGTACCTGTAGAGGTCAGTATAGTTTTTCTATCCTTCTCATTGTGTGTCTAACTTATCTACACAAATCTTCCCAATCCTAAAGGGGAACCGCTCAATCCCATGGATTGCACCACTGCTCATGGGTAATTAACTCCACCTCTGCCCACTAAGTAAATGAATACTTATTATGCTCGCTTACTCAAACTGTGGTTAACAGGCATTTTGCAGACATTAGCCGCCATTTTAATCTCATGATTTTTATTTGTCGCTGCACATTTCGATCGAAAACAACAACATTTATACACCAAAAGCCCAGATGAGTGTAATCGCTAGCGTACATACTCAGGCCCCGTAGAAATGTATTTGGAATCACATCTTGATCTCTAAACATTGTAAAATGGAACATTTCCCGTAGCTCCCACCACAGTGTGAGCGGCTTGATTCAGATTAGCATACTAATTGAGGTGGCCATCTCGCCCAAATTTATAGTATTGGTTCCTCTTTAAGTGTATAACACAATTAACTTGTAGTAGTTAGTATAGTTTTTCAATCCTAATTAATTCAAAAAATAGTTGTATGGATGGTTTTTCAAAAGTTTAATAAGAATTTTCACTGTAATCCTAATCCTAATGATAACACATTGATAATCATAATTCTGTATGCTGCTCTAAACTTAAAAGCTGAGATACATGCCTGGAGTACCGGTACATGGAGTATGTTGAGTAGCAGTGTGCATTCATTTTGTGACGGTCTTAAGTCAAAATAAAATCAAAAAAGTCAATTTTTTGATTAGCTTGTTGACTCAATATTGTATGTTACCGTATGTGACTTTGGAAGGTACAAACAAAAATGTTGTGTCCTGCCTGATCTATTGTATTCACACTTATTATGTTTTTTACCAAACTGCAAATTCATCAACTTTCAATGTGACACACTGAGAAGTTGCGTCATGAAAAGTCTATGTGCGTCAGTTATTTGTCATGTTGGATTAGAAGACACAATATCAAGGCCCTGTGCTAAAAAAAGATTGTCGCTTTCAACATATTTCTGATGTTAATAAAATACAAAATGTATATAGATGTTGATTGATGTTTGGATATGGTTTTGAGAGTAAAAATGGTTGGTTGAATTTAAAATAACCAACGAGTGTCTTTGTTTTCAGGATTCTAAGCTAAGTATGGAGGAAATAATCAAGGAAACTGTAACAAAGAAACTGCCTTCTTTAAATAAAGAGAAAAACAAGCATAAACCAACTAAAAGTAAGTACTCTACTGTAAATATAGTAAATCTTTTACCTTTATATGTAGATAGTACATAGTCACATCAATATCAATAGAGGTCTTTCAGCTACGTAATTTTGAACGTCATTGCTCACATATAGTAGCCATTGTGAAGGCCACGCTCAAGATTCTCCATAGGGTACTACATGTGGAACATCTCGTGCTGGAGGCCTTGTGACGTAACATGAAAGTCTTCCATTATGTGTTGATCAATACTTAGGCTTTAGTGTCACCCTGCATATTTCAAGTACTAATCAAATTTGAACTGATAATAATACATATGCATGTATGTATGCATGTATGTATGTCTGAATCTACTATGTAATGATTGACTTTCTTTGCTTACCTAGGCGGCCCTGGTCTGTATCAAGTTGTAAAATGTGGTTCTTCAGGTCATAATATAAGAAGTCGTGCATCATTGAAAGCATCTCCAGTTGGTATGATGGTACATGGTAATAAACTCACTGTGTTGCAGGATGTAAGTCTACACAGTTAATATTTTGATTTATTAATTATGATTCAAATTATGCATAGGAGACGGCCAATATTTGACAACAGTTTGAGATTTAAATTGAATTACTGGTACCACAAACTACTTTGATGTCTTGGGAGAGAAATTGTTCATACAATTGTAGTCGTGAAAATATTATTGGATTTCTTTACGCAGTGATTTGCAGTTGAAATCCATCCAATTTCATCGATACAATGCTTTCCAAAGTTTACAGTGCCAAAAAAAAACCACTCCCTATGTTTAGCTCATTTATGGTTATATTTTGATATTTCCAGTTGAAGAGTTCAGAAGGTAACATATGGGTAAAACTTGATCACGAAAGTATGCAGCGTTATTGTGAAAGTACTGAAGGTGAGGCTTGGTCATTAGCAAGAAACAAAGACGCTATATACCTTATGCATGAAGCTGATCTAGAAATTGAGGAAGAAAAGGCCAAATTAACAGCACCTTTTGCTTTGGAATTCACATCTGGTCGATCAACTCCACCCAAAGTAGCCGGTTTTGATTTCAAGAAAGCAGCAGCCACTGCCAGCTCAGGTGAGCATCATTGATTGGCTGATTCTGTTGGGTACAAGACCGTGACAGATTTAAATATTTAATTATAGAATAAACTCTTGTCAAAAATCTTATGTAGGTAATATTTACATGAGAAATTTAAATGATTAGTTGTAAAAATATTAATTTTTATTTTTGTTAGTGTTTTGTACTTGCGCTAGAAAATATAGGAAGGAAGGAAGATGCGAATGAAACTTTGCTTAGCCGCCATTTTATGAACAAAACATATTAGCCATAGAGGGCGCAGTAACACTACTCATCTCAATACATTACATAGTGACAAGAGGAAATCAGAGCATTTTCTACCAGTCAAAATGTCACTATGGATTTCGGGGTGGGGAATCACATGACTTCTTGTGAACCTATCAAGTTGTGAACAATTTAAACGGCAACAATTGAAGGGTTTACAATCATAAAAACAATAATCTCTTGCTCACAGAGTTTTGTTTTTTTGTCATAGGACCATTGATGTTTGGTGGACATGCCAGCAATGGCCTTAATGGACCTGTTATACCAAATGTGCCTACTTTTGGCAGCCCTAGTAAAAATGAAATCATTCCCGAAAATCAAACTGGGCCATTTGTCTTCGGCCAAGCAAGTATGTATGATTGAAAACATGAATTGTGAACAATGACGTTTCCTCTGCTTTCAATCTAATATATTGGAATGTTTGCTTTATATAAAATGTTCATATATGTTGCACGCATTTTGTTAGCATGGCAAAATATTGTACATCACCTGCTGATGTTGTTTTTGACTCCCGTGTGCTAAGCACAAAAAGGGAGTCTTTGCAGTTAGTGTGTCTGTGTGTGTGTGTGTGTGTGTGTGTGTGTGTGTGTGTGTGTGTGTGTGTGTGTGTGTGTGTGTGTGTGTGTGTGTGTGTGTGTGTGTGTCCGCCTGTTCCACTGATATCTCAAGAACCATTCATCAGTTCTTGATGAAACTTGGTGCATAGATGCTCTGGGCCAATGCACAGATTTGATTAGGTTTTGGTAAAAATCCATGCATATTAATTACCTAATTTGCATGATAATTAGCTGATTTTTAGCTGTTCCATGACTGTTCCACTAAAGAACCACTCATTGGATTTTGATGAAACTTGGCACACAGATGCTCCAAACTAATGCGCAGATTTGATTAGTTTTGGGTAAAAATCTGTCCAATATTAATTACCTAAATTGCATAATGATTAATCAATTTTCGGCTTTTCCACTGATATCTCAGGTACTGATCATCACATTTCAATAAAACTTGGTACATAGATGTCATAGGACACTGCACAAACCTGATAGTTTTTAGGGTAATATCAGTAGATATTAATTACCTAATTAGCATAATTAATTAATTTTCAGCTTTTGATATTTCAAGTAGTAATTGTCACATTTCAATGAAACTTTGTACATAGATGTCATAGGACACTGTACATACCTGATAGTTTTTAGGGTAATATGAGTACATATTAATTACCTAATTTGCATAATTAATTAATTTTCAGCTTTTGATATTTCAAGTAGTAATCATCACATTTCAATGAATTTGGTACATAGATGTCATAGGACACTGCACAGACCTGATAGTTTTTAGGGTAATATCAGTATATATTAATTAGCTAATTTGCATAATTAATTAATTTTCAGCTTTTGATATTTCAAGTAGTAATCATTCACATTTCAATGACACTTGGTACATAGATGTCATAGGACACTGCACAGACCTGATAGTTTTTAGGGTAATATGAGTACATATTAATTACCTAATTTGCATAATTAATTAATTTTCAGCTTTTGATATATCAATTAGTAATCATCATATTTCAATGTGACTTGCTACATAGATCTTCTAGGATTATGCTGATTAGTTTTAATTGGATATTAATTACCTAATTTGCATAATGTTCCACTGATATATAAAGAACCACAAATTGGATTTTAATGAAACTTTTAAAGAGAACTATGCAGAAACCCAATTAGTTTTTGGTAAATATTTATGCTTATTAATCACCTAATTAACATAATTAATTAACACTGATATCTCAATTACTGATCATCACATTTGAATAAAATGTGGTACATAAATGCTCTGGGACAGTGCATTGCCTACATTCAATGCATTGCCTACATTCAATGCATTGCCTATATTCAATGCATTGCCTACATTCAATGCATTGCCTACATTCAATGACATTGCCTATATTCAATGACATTGCCTACATTCAATGCATTGCCTATATTCAATGGCATTGC